GGCAAGTGCCCCAACTGGGGCCTGGGATGCAACCAGGAACCCAGGTACAGGCCCTTAGTCATGAATCCAACCCTTCAGTCTGATGTTCCAACCACTGAGACACACTGACCAGGGCTCAATATTTTTTGTTAATGTTGCTGAATTTAATTAAGACAAAATTGAAAGTTTATCAACTTTCTACATAAAATGATTGCTGAAATGTTTTCCATTTATAAACTTGTTATTAAGTCAATCCTAATTAATAGTTCTGAAGTAAATTTTAATGATCTGACAACATGATATACCAAACTGAGGTATTTATATTTTCTGTTTATCCTGCTTTCTGGAACATTTGATAGCAGCTTTCCACCACAAAACCATTTTTAGATTAAAATTACTTTGCCCCCTATGGTTATCTGTGGGCACTGGTAACAAATTGTTTTTGCTAGTGCGAAGTGAGCCAATGCTGATTGGCCATTGGGAACTCTAACAAACTTTAAATTTCAGCAAAATGCCCAGAAACTACTAATCCTGCAGAAGAAGCCAAGTATCCTGAAGGTAAAAGATACAGGTAATTTGGCTTTCTTGATGTTCTTGATAGCTTTATAATGTAATTGGTTACATTTTCAGGATGCATGCCAACCAGGTAGAGAAATTTTGAAACTAACTGCAAATCGAAGGTATTCGCTACTGAACACAACTGTGTAATATTTAGTGCTTTGCTTTATAAAACAGAAAGTACATTACCAAGCTCTAGAAATTATCAACTAAAATTGATGGCAATATCTTCTTTGATTTGATTGACAGCATTATCGAGATCCACAATAACCCAAAGACTCTAATACTACTCTATCCCTGCACTTATAACCAGGATGAGGGTAATGTGATATTCACACTCCCCAACCTCCTCTCTGCTGGTATCATCTGTGCTGATATTTCTCAGCATTAAGTCGTTTAATAAGTGACTTGTATTGTCCTCATCTTTAAAATGCTTGGGTGGCTACTTTATAGTTAGAATTAAGGTTCTTAAAATTGCATTAATTTTGAAGAGAATAGCCTAGAATTTTAGAATATATTTAATAGTTATATTTATTTCCCCAAATAAAAGGGTTTTTATTAACCTTGAAATGCTTAAAGATTACAACAGTATTTAGATTATTTTTCCCAATAAAAGTGCTTTTCCCCCAAGTATTCTCAAGAAGTGGTATAAATTTTTTATTCTCATATTGGTTGTTATATGTCTGCGTGGTAGTTAGTAAAATACTTAATGCTTATCAAAACCAACAGATTAGTAATCTAAGGTTGACTTTTTTTCCCCTTCAATTTAATGGCCTCTTGACTTCAGTGAGCTAACTACATTCTCTTAATATATTTACCAAAGTATAAACATGTACCTTTATCCATAGCTAAATGTTAATGTTTTTTAAAATTTATTATTGATATTATTATAGATGTCCTCCATTTCCCCCCTTTACCCACCTCCACCCAGCCACTGCCCCCTCCCCAGGCCTTCCTCACACTATTGTCTGTGGCCATGGGTTACGCATATATGCATATATGTATTTTGGTTAATCTCTTCCCATCTCCTCTACTCCCTTCCCTCTGAGATCTGTCATTCTGTTCCATGCATCCATTAAATGTTAGTATTTCAAACATAATTTTGTTAAGCCCCATATAAAATATGATTTGCCTTTAAATCAACTACATGTAGATTTTTCTGTAATAAGTAAAAGAATAAAACACTCCAGGTGGCATAAAGTTTGGATTAAGAACACTGGCTCTCTAGCAAGTTATTTAATAGCCAGGTTATTAATCTCAGTTCTGCCCTTTAATATCTGGGAATTCCGGGACCAGTTATTGGACTTTCTGTGGCTATTTCCTAATCTATAAAACAGGAATAGTAATGCCACCTAACTCATAGGGTTATCAGGAGGCTTAATTAATTGAATACATGGAAAATTTTTAGAATAGTGCTTGGCTCATTTTATTATTCAGTAAATGTTAGCTATTAATATAAGTATTATATAAATTGTTTCACTCTTCAGCCCATGGATGGATACTAGATCAGGTACTTTGCTAATGAATATAACGTATATTGGGGTACCAGCCTGGTAAGGGACACAATTATATTCCTCACCATGGAGCCTGCTTCACTGCCAAATCATTTAAAGAGTATGTTATAAGCTGCTATACTAACTTAATGTTATTATAAATTATAAAATATCTAAATTAAATGATGTCTCTCTAAAGACAAAAGGGAAAAGTTTAGGCTAACGATAGAGTGAATAAATATATCTTTAAAATTCATTTCTACCAACTGACTTCATTGCCTTAATAATATTGGACAATTTTCATTTTCACATTAGAATAATTAGACATATGAAAGCACTTTCATTAAAGTATCCACACTTGGGTATAAGTAAATTATACATAGGGTTTTGTTTTTTTTCTTATAAAAGGATTGCTAGGGGAAGGGTGTTTGTATATACTTTTGTGTTGTATTTATTTTTAAGGTTGCAGTTCATAATTGGCAATGCTTTAGGGTAGTGAAATATAATGTCTTTTTACAGAGATTCTCAAAGATGCAAATCGTCTGTTTGGGACTGCTTCTTTTCCATCTGACCTGGGCAGCATCAGTAAGCATTTCGGATTTTAATTTTGCATCATAAAATCTATTGCTCTCTTTATCTGTTTATCTCTTAAGCAATGCCTTTTATTTTATTTTATTTTATTTTATTTTATTTTATTTTATTTTATTTTATTTTATTTTATTTTATTTTATTTTATTTTATTTTATTTTGTGTTTAAAATATTACAGCTGTTCCTTTTTCTCCCCAATGACCCGTTCCACCCCGTCCCATCCCCCTCCCCAGTCCCTCTCCCCACCACTGTCCATGTCCTTGGGTTGTGCATATCTGCATATAAATTCTTTGGTTACTCTCTCCCCCTCCACCCACCCGCCCTCCTCCATCCCTCTGACATTCCTCAGTCTCATCTATGCTTCCATGTCATTGAATCTATTCTGTTCATCTGTTTATTAAGTTGTTTAGATTCCACGTATAAGCGAGATCATGTGATGTTTTTCTTTCTCTGCCTGCCTTTTCAAACTAGTAACACCTAGTTTGGTGATAGTGAAGCAAAAAGAAAGCCTCCAGCACTTGACACCAAAGCCTGCCACCAAGGAGCCTTCAATGAACATGTGTTGAATTACAAGGTGTCCACATGTTGCCTTTTAAAAAACACCAGAAAGAATACTTTTGAGAAAAACCAAGAGCCAGCCACAGTGTTTCAAATCAGCTAACGCCAATGAGTGAATGCTCAGAGACCCAAATTATAACATGTCAAAATAATTTTTCAGTATTTTACTAAAAACTGGGGAAAAAAATGACTTGATTATTTTAAGGCTAACCAACTAGATTTTGTAAATACATGGCACCACAAAGGGAGCAGAACTTCCCTGTGATTCTTGCAACACCTCAGCACTGTGAGATCCTAGTGATGATTTTCTCTTCATTGCTGAGGCTAGCGATGGGAGGGAGTGCCCCCAAGCTTAACCCAAACCAAGCTCCAATTTCTTTTGTGTCTCTTTTCCCCTCTGATTCACCCAGATGAGCACTCAGGATGTGACTCAATGATCCTGTGAGAATGGAGTGTTAGCGATATTTTCTGCAATGCAGACGCAGTGCCAATTAGATAATGTCTGGAAAGCATTCTAACTTCCCAGAGTAACCTTTCCAGTTGGAGAACCATGGAAACGAGTGACCACTCTGTTGCCAGAAGTACTTAAATATAGGTCCTGAGCGAGTGGGTGACCAGTTGGGCAACCCACTGACAAGCATGAACCATGTCATCGGGTGAGGACAGCAGAAGTTGAGGAAAGCTTGTTTCCTCTCAGCTCACAGCCTCTAGCAGTCTGTGGGGGCTGCACTGCTTAAAATAGACACCTGCCAGGCTCAGTGCACGTGGTTTACCCCATCACGATGACAGCCGGTGGGTCCTGCTGACCCAGCTCAATCCCACCAACCTAGAAGGAATCTATTTTGAGCAACACGGTCCAAGGAACAGTGGGAGTGGCATTCTCCAACCATTTTCCAGTAAATGTGCTATGTCAACATCAATGCGGTGACCACTGGTCAAAAGCAGGTGCCAGCGTTCCTCCCCAGGGGGAGACAATGCCATCAGGGCCACATTCAAGCAAGGGGGGACTGCCACGTGGGTATGGGGGGGAAGGGAGGGGTGCATGTTTCAAATGGAAGAGGTCCTGCAAAGACATAAAGACAAAATTTGGAATTATAAAAGGCTAAATATGTTTTCTCCCAGATATACAGAGTCTGAACATTTATCAAAATTATTTAATAATAGGTTGGTGGTATCAGAAAGTGGTGTATATTAAGTCATTTACATATGTTTGGGAACTAGAATCCAAGTTCAAATTGTAGGGGAGCAAAACCTTTTTCTCAGCCCTCTTAGGGTCCCTGGTTGAAACTGAAATGTAAACTGACAAAGATATGTCAACAGGAGTAAAGCATACAAGTTTTATTGAATTTTTACATGTACATAGGAGTCTTCAGACGAGAATAAAGACCTGAAGAAGTGACCAGGGCAGGAAGCTTTTATACTGTTTAGATAAAGAAACAATAAATTTGTGAAGAATTGATAAGACTAAAAGGTTTGGGCTAGTCCACCTAGGGCTAGGGAGTCCTTACCTTCCTCAAGTAAGAAGATTAGGGTTAGTTTAACAAGGGTTGTTTGCAGATTCCTCTGGGGTGGTTTCTGGACTGGTAAGAGTCTGTCTCCAGTTAAAGAATTTATTTCCTGCCATTAGGCAGAAGAAGAGGAATTATTCTGCTTACTATTTTTTAATTGGCTTCAGCTCAAAATAATTTTTATGTCAAAGAGGCATATTTGGGGGTTACCTTCTTGTTTCCTTCAAAAACAAAAATTAAAAAAATGAAAGAAAATAAAAGATGATTGATTATTGGGCGATGCAATTTAATTAATATTCATCAATATGCTATTAGAGTATAAAGACTTTGTTATAAGTTACTCTGTTATAAGTTCATGATTTATTATTGTGAACTATATTAAAGTACTCTATTCTAAGCATGTTTTTAATACATGAGCATGTATTATGTTCTGTAAGAAGATGCCAGATACCCCAAACTGACACTTCTTTTTAAAATTAATATCTACTCATCTAATTTTTATGTTTTCTCTTTCCTATAGCCCCATTTCCAGATGTTTTCACATTTTTGTGAAATGAGGCAATGATCTAAATTTATGTACAAAAAATCATATATGAACCAACATAAAAAAGGCAATAAAAGATAAAATGATAAAATATGCCTGAAGGTGCTTCATATAAATTACAGGCACATTTCCTCTTATTATTAAATATGTTTTTTCCATATATCAGGCCATTTAAAAATTTATTATTTTAACCCTGGGACTTTGAGGCAGAGGATTTAGGTCAAAGTATCTCCTTTACTTGTCCTGCTACCACCAGCTGTGTAGGTGTAGGCAATTCTGTTTCTCTACTTCCTTTCTCACAGGGGTTATTATGGGACTAAGACGAGATTATTTATATGAAAGAAGTTTACAAACTGTAAAGTGCTATGTAAATATAAAGTATCATTGACAAACTATTTTTTCATGCAAATTTGTACTTTTATTTTTATGGGCAAGATTTTTACTTTTATTTTCTATAATAGATTTCTGAGCAGCATTGAGTAGAAGAGAATATGTATTTTTTCCATAGATATTGCCATATTTTCTTCCCCAAATGCTATGCATCTTAACATTCTCACCACCAATATGTACCATACTACCTTTTCCTCTAGATCCCCACCCAACGAGTATAAAGTTAATTGTTATTTCTTTAATGTGTATTTCTCTGTCTTTTTAAAGTTGAAGTATGATTGACATACAATATTACATTAGTTTCAGGTTTACAACATAGTGATTCAAAACTTTTATACATTATAAAATGATCACCACAGTAAGTCTAGTTGCCATCTGTCCCCATACAAAGTTATTACAATATTATTGACTATATTCCCTAGGCTGTTCATTACATCTTTGTGAGTTATTTATTTTATAACTGGAAGTTTGTACCTCTTAATCCCCTTCACCTATATTGCCCGTCCCTCTCCTCCCTCCCCTCTGGCAACTGCCAGTTTGTCCTTTGTATCTATGATTGGCAAAATATTTTTGTTTCTAAAATGGACTGGAATGCCAGGCAGATCTGCTTTGGAGCTCAGCCAATAGAGCACTTTTACTAAAGTTTTGAGTTTATTTTTAAGATGATTTCAGCCATGATAGGAAGTTCAGTAAGAAGGGCCCTAATTGGAGAATAGTTATAAAGCACAGGATGAACAGAAAGGGCAAGTCAAGGGGGTGATGAGGCAACATGAACACTGAAGCCACTGCCATGCCTCGGGCGGGGGGAACAAGGAAGGAGGCGGTGTTCCCAGCGCCTGGGGGTGGGGGTGGGCAGCAAGGACTAGGGCCACAAAGGGGATGCATCCAATCCTAGAGATGCCGCCCCAAATGAAAGAGCAGGCAAGGACAAGCCTTGGCTTTCTCCTTTTACCTGTCAGTCTCAGGCCGGGTCTCCCATCAGCCAAACCCAGGCTGGAGCCAGATGTCAAAGGAGCTCAGGAAGTGTTTGCAGGGGCCGTCACAGACAGAGCAGAAGTACAGTATCTGAAAGCAAGCAGGATAACTGCTCATATCTTATTGCTAGGAAATACAGAACTCTAAGGTTTAGTCAGGCATAATATTCTCTAGGTGGATAGGGCCTTTTAATTTAATCTTTCCCTTGTGGGATTTTCTCTCTTATATGACTAACACTGCCATGATGCCTGTTTTCATTTTAGCATGCTCTTTTAGACACAAACCAGTCCGAGCCGTTGATTCCTCTTGCCACATCTGAGATAACCTAGGAATTTCAAAAATAAATGAGAGAAAAAATACTGAGAATAAAAGACTTGTTACGTCTGTTGCTTCCATGGCAAGCTTGCTCCAGGATTCTCAGGTCCTCTTCTGTAAGCTCTCCGGTGACACCTACATTTTAGCCTAAAAGCTTGGAACGAGATGCCTGGCTCTGTGTCTTTTTAGTTTCTGGCCTTTCTCTAATTTAATAGCTATCCTGAGTTTCCAGGTACCCTCAAGACACTTTGACACTTCCATGTCACATCAAGAGAAAGTCTTTGTCCCCATCTGCAGGTTACCCTGTTTTCCTTTCCCTGAAAGAAATATCTGCCCAAGTGACTGGCAACAAGAAAGTCCCATCCCCAGGCGTGGTACCTCCCCTTAGGTGCAGGGCTATGGTTTTTCTCTTGCAGGGTAATCAGAGCATCGTATCTTAACTCACACAGCAGTTTCTGAATTTATGCAATTAATGCACATGAAGTCCTCAGTGTTAGGTGAGCTCTGATTTTGATGCACTAACTAAACAACACCCAATGTTCCAGTGAAACCTTCTTTTTCAGTGGATAGCAATGACATCCAAGCTTTTTCACTGGAGTGCCACCCTGCCCGGCCTGGCAGTCCTCCAGCTTGAATGTGGCTCTGTAATGGAGATGGCTTTGCTCACCGCTGGGGGCGGAACGCTGGCACCCTCTTTAACACTGAGACAAATATTAATGTGGGAGGTGTGGCTACCAATCGTTCTGGTCAGGGCGATTTTCCACACTGACTAGTATAACCCAGTGAGAGAAAAAGAAAAGATTTGTTGTTTGAAGACATGAATGAAAGGATGAATGTTTGGTGAAGCTTTATTTCTTGTTTCCTTTCAGATGGTTCAACCACAGACTGAGGGAACTAAGCAAGACTGTGTGGAAGAACAGGGGGTAAACAGAGCTATTCTTCTCAAAGAAATCCATTTCAACTCTGTAAAGGAAAAAGTCAGTCAGAGGAAAATTTCAACTGTCAACAATATTCTTGTGTACTTAGAATGAAAATGCAAAATTAAAACATAATTTTGGCACTTTGATTCACACGATGTGTGAGAAAAAAAGGAAAAGCATTCTAAATGGAGATTTCTCTTCAATATGATTTATTCCTTCGGAAGGATAACTGCATAGAAATCCTGGGATATTGTTATTAGCAAATACCATTTTTCTACACATGTACTGGAGAACAAAGCAATAAATGAGGGAGAAAACAAAGCAAAGAACATTAGTGAGTCTTAATGGGGAGTTCTGTTTACGTGGAGCTAGTTTCCATATGCATCCAGAAAGTTAAACAAGTTCCCTCAGCTTTTCAGGTCACCAAATTGCAGCTTACTCCTGCCTGCCACGGCTGCTTCTGGCAGTCTCAGAAAATTCCGTTCCAAGAACTAACAATCTCCTGCTCTCTGTCTCTGTTGAAAATTACAAAGGCAAAAACTGCAAATTTAAGAGCCTGGATTTTCATGCTGAGAGTTTTGCCAACTTGACATCAGACATGTATACTATAAAATCTGCCTTTCTCCTAACCCCCCTGCCCCCTCCAACCTGAAAATATTTCCAAGTGCTCCTTTTCCATTGAAATTTGGAAATCAAACTGATACCCCCTGGGTGGGAGGGCAGTTGACAGTCATCCTTATGGAAAACTAAGAGGTACGTAGAAAAGAAAGAAACAAGCTGCTGTCCTCAGGGGCTGGTGAACACACACCCTCCTGTGGTTACAGGAAGCACTACCCTTTGTTAGATGTAGAATTAGTCTTCACTCAAGTTTTAAAATTATCTGTACTACCAACAAGAGAGCCAGGAAACTTCTTAGTGAGAGATAAACCCATCTTCACGTAATGTTGTATTTTGTAGATAACATACAAGGGTCACCATGAGAAACATGGGCATTATATTTTCCAGTATGTTTACACACCACCTGGGAGGAAAAATCGAACGAACATAAAGGTAAGCTGAATCTCTCCGCGATGGCCCTTACCCTGAGTCAAACGTGGACTAATGCTCGGGGGAACTCCAAGGGAGACAGGCTTTACTTTTTCTGGCTCTGGGGTTTCTGTCTGTGGCTGTGCCTTTGTCTTTTCCCCACATCCCAGGCTCCTCATGCATCTCTGCTGTGGAACTCTGTGTTCTGGAGTCTTCCTGACACAGGTGGGCCCCCCAGGCCCTGGCCCACATCCTGCCCTACTTTAGGACCTGTCAAGGCAGGTGTGGTACTGGTGGACCCTAAATGCCCATGAGTATTTTTTTTTCATTTTATTGCTTCTGATTAATGTTTGGTGCTTTATAAGGATGTTTTCTGGACATATTCTACTATATGCTCTAACGGTGAGGATTAGATGTCACTTTGGCTTAAAGAGTGACACATTTTAGTGCCCCTTAAATTCATTCCACAGAAGATGCCATCTGTGTCAGGATGCTCAGAAGAGAAAGAATAAGGGCCTTGTCACTGGAATGGAACAGTAATTCTTTTCATTCAGCCCCTTGCTAATTCATTGGCTAAAGAGCTGGACACAGCTTACAATGCCATCAGCAAAAAGGACTACTTACTTCTTCCAAATCTGGCTTCATTTCCCATGAGAGTTGTAGTTCCCCTTCAGAATGTTGTTTTGTTCAGCTTTATATTCTTTAGATGCTTCTCTAAGACTAACTGCCTGTTAAACTTATTGGTTATAATAAATATGTATTGAGCTCTTCTTACTGCGCAAGATACTATGTGAGATAAAATAATTGAGAAAACTTAACTCTCTCTCTCTCCAGGATGCTAGACTTATAAAAGAAACAAATGGTACTTACAAAAATCATTAACCCAAGACAGAATGTGCAAAGTGCTATATTGATGGCACTTAAAATATTATGCTTTAGGGATTGGAGCAGAAAAAGATTACTTCCTAGTCTGGTGTTCAGGGAAAGCTACATAATGGAAATAATTGAGCTGTGGAGGGTGGGAAGGATTTGAGCAAGCAAGTGGGTTGGAGAGGCCGTTCTCCATGAAAAGAATGATATAAGTGAAGGCATGAAGACAGTAAAACAGAGCAAAGCGACCAGCCAACAGACACGGGGATCATCACACAGTCAACAATCTTATTGTCAGAATATACCTGTCGAACAAAAGATTAGTGAGTAATGATGTCATAACTCCCACAAATAAGTCATTTCATATTATCTCTTAAAAATATCACAAGTTGGAACTCTTGTATATTGCATATTAGCCAGCTTCGTAAGAATAGAGGGGACGTCCATAAACCATTTTTATCTTGAGATTCAAGTGTGAGCTGACTCAACAATTTTCTCACTGCTTCTAAGATTAATAAGACACATGTATAAAAACAGGCAGTCCTTCAAGTAGAACAGTACTATATTTGAGAGAGAGAGAGAGACAGAGAGAGAGAGGCAGAGAGAGAGAGGGATATGAGAATGGGAGAGAGAATACTTTTAAAAATATGAACCCTGTCACTTGCAATGACTCACTAGTCACAAGATGAGGACCACACTCTGTCCTTCAAAATCAGGCCCTAAGCATCTACATTTCCAAATTTATGTCTTATTCTTTTTTTAGGATTTCTCCACTCCATACTCATAGTTGTATTCATATTATCTTTCAAATGTTTCCTGGTTCCAAACATTTGAACGTGCCACTCATTCTGAAAAGATCCTCACCACTTCCCTTCCATGTATCTGAGCTTACCCCCCCTTCAAACAGTGCTCATTCTTCTTTCTCCAGAAAACCTGCTTCGGCCGTCCCAGAATGAGTTCTTCTAACAAACCTCTATTGAGTGAATAGAGTCTTATTATTAAGTATCTGGATGTTTTTAAAATACATGTATATCCTAAGAATTATTAGATTTTTAAGAATTTAACATAAAATAATCACTTTTTGTTAAACATTGCACTCTAGCAGGAAGACATAACCAAAGACAATACTGCTCTTCACCACTCTGGCAAGAGAAGACATCAAGGGCCAGCACCTCAAGAAAACAGGGTCCAAGGAAGAGAGAAAGACTTGCTCCTTCTTGGAGTGGATAAAAAGAAGCACATTAGTAACAGAGAAAATGCCCACAATGACCTAACGATGCCCATTTGCCCTGACTCTACGGGGAACAACAGGCCTGGGGATGGAGCCGATGTTCTCAGCAGACTGCGCGGCCAGGAAGAACACGGTACAGCTCTCACCAGAAATGACATGCGGCGTGTAATGGAGCCAGGAGCTGTGACTGAACTGCTGGGGGCAGAAAACAAGGAGCTCAAAGCCAGGAACGGTCTAAACAAAATTCTATCAAGTGCGAATCATGCCAAGTCCTCCTCAAAAGGTAAGAAGAATCACCAAAGAGATCCACAAGCTCTAAACATTCCAATAAAAAGCAAAAGCACCCACCAGATCCACCATGACACCGACTCCCTAAAACAGTTCCCCAAACTCAAAAAAATCCCCAGTGATTTTGAAGGCAGTGGCTATCTAGATCTGCAAGGGAGGGGGGACAATGATATCTCTCCTTTCAGTGGAGATGGCCAACCTTTTAAGGACATTTCTGGTAAAGGAGATGCTGTCGATCCTGACCTAGAGGGCGCAGATACTCAAACAGAGGTTTCCGGCCTAGTTGAAGCTGAGACTGTTAATCCTGAAGCGGGAGGCCCGGGTAATAACGACATCCCAGGGACAGCAGAAAATGGCAAAAACACCATTGGAACCAGGGACGGAACAGCGCAAGAGGCAAACGCTGATGTGAGCCTACTGGAGGGCGGCAACCACATCGCGGGGAGCACCAAGTTCAAGGAGCTCCCTGGGAAGGAAGGAAGCAGAGCGGATGCTGGCAGCCAAAATGCCCACCAAGGAAAAGTCGAGTTTCATTACCCTCATGTGTCCTCAAAAGAGCAAAGGAAAGAAGGCAGCAGGGATGTTGCTGAAAGCACTAATTATAATGAAATTCCGAAAAATGGCAAAGGGAGTAGTAGAAAAGGTACAGAACATTCTACCAGGAATCAAGTGACCTCGAGTGAAAAGCAAAGATTTCCTAGTGAGGGCAAAAGGCCGGGCCAGCTCATTCCTTCTCGTGGTCTTGACAATGAAATTATAAATGAAAGAGGTTCCCATAGTGGCCCCAGTAATGAGGGGACTGTAACAACACACAGTGGGAAAAATCATTATGTACCCCACCGACAAAATAGCGCCACGTGGAGCAAGGGGGTGCCACAAGGAAAAGGCTCCCGGGCTCACCGAAAATCCCACGCCAACAGGAGGGTTAGGCTCCTCAGAAAGCACGCCAGCAGTGAGTCCTCCGACAGTGGCAGTTCGAGTGAGAGTGACGGTGACTAGCCCGCTAGCCATTCCCAGCGGGATAAAGCTTTGCACGCCTAGACGTGACTCGACGGTGAAGGGCCGCCGCCCGGCAGCGGACCAGCTGGGGGACAGGGCGGGGAACTGAGTGGGCCCCGAACCCCGGCCTCCTGGGGAGAACTGTGGCTATTTTTATGGTCATGGTATGAAATTCTATTCAAAGTTATGATGCTTATGAAATCCTATTTAACGTTATGATGCTTTTTTTTCTTTAAGGAAAACATTCATTAAGGATTTACGGAATAGGTAACATTTGAATAGGTGCCATTTAAAAATAGTTCGTGAATGTCAGGCTTCCCTTGTTGCTCTGTAGACATGGAGACAAACGGTATCTCTCCTATAGTCATCTGTAATAAAGGATCCACGAGAAAAGCCTGTGTCTGTGGCGCTTCATTTCAGAGGCAACAAGATTAGTCCTGTGCCTGGCAAGGGCAGTGCTGTGCAGTGAATGTGCTGAGCAAAGCCTGAGGGCGTTCCCTCACCCCTCTCTGCCCAGCCAGCACTTCTTTCCTCGGGAGCCCCTCTGCTCTAACAGACACAGCCTGCCTCACGGCCTTCTGCACTCTTTCCCCTGCAGCACAGTCACAGCTTCTTACAAGGCAAGTTTTATTTCCAGAGACAAATCACCACGTTATCACGTTTCTCAATTCTACTTCCTTCTATACAAAGAGAAAGAGAGCCGAAAAGAAATGCTAAGTGAACCTGAAAACAAGGATTATCTTTTTCCTCTAATTTACTCTCCATCTTCCAAGGATAAGAGAAACTGGTACCAATGGAAATACTTAACATATCACCTAATAAATTAGCCAGCATCAGGATTCCAGAATAAACTATTCCTGGTAATTTTATTTTTAAAAAATAAAAGACATTTGGGGCATACACATACACAACACACACAACTAAAATTATATCAGAATTTAAATTGCATATAAATGAATTGACATCAACCTGCTACTTATATAGCAGATTATATCAGACTTATACATGTGAATGGTCTTAACACATGAAAAGCACTTGGCGTTCTAAGGGGGTAAAAAAATGAGCTGCTAGAGATAATGAGTATTTTCTTTGGGTGATTACAGGAGGACCTTCCAAAGGCCATCTGTCCTTGTCTGCTATCTAGTGGAGAAACTGCATTTCAGTTCTCTGGTCAGATATTATTTCCTCTTTCCCAGCTTGAGTGTTTATGCATATTTATTCAAATTTTCTTCATCCTTTTAAGGAAAACTCAATGTTTCAAAATCTGCAATGCATTACTGTGGGATACAGACATGGAGGGTGAGTCCAAATGAGAAAGAGCAGAGATCTGGAAACAGTCTGTCCCCCTGCAGCGGGTCTGTGCTTTAGCTAAACCCAGGTTTCAGCCATCAAGCTGCACTAGCTTCACTCTTTTAAAAAAAAAATAAACATGTATTCCCAAAATAGGGCAGAAAATTTCAGCTGCACAAAGCTGCCTTATATGTGGTGATTGAAATGGGCATAGTCTGCCACCTTGTGCCCAAAAAGAAAAGATCCCTCCAGGCTCTGGCATTAATTTCCACACCTCCTAGGTTTCTTTGCTTGTAAATATCTACCTTGAGTTTACAGCCCTAATTAATCTGTTCTTGACAACTCCAGCCAGCCAGGGCAATACATCTGGTTCTGTTGGGCATAACATTCAGCTCAGTTGAAATAGATTTACTGAATGATCCCATTTTACAAAATTCCATGGGGATTAAAAGAAGAAAAGAAGAGATGCTTCTGGCTACTTAGTAAGATGACATTTTAGTCAAGGAAAAGGGCCTAAAAAAAGATGCATGGTAGACTGTGATAAGTTCAACAACAGAAATATAAATAGAGTGATTATAGGAAGGAGATAAACTCTAGCTAAAAGAAACAGCAAAGATACAGTAAAATCTATTTTCCTTAAGCGTATTACACACTCAAAGGAGCTGCAAAAAGTAAGTTCCAACAGGCAAATGAAGGCTTGACAGTCAATGACCTTAAATGATACTACAGGTATTTTAGCATTGAAGAGGGGACACTCCAACCAGAGGATGGAGAAGTGGTGCTGGGTGAGATGGGCTGGGGGAGTTGGAAGGCATAAGCCTAGCAGTAAGGACACCCAAAGGGCTAGTGCTATAATCCAGAAGAAACATGACGGTGTCTCCTTGCTTGGTCTTTAGCGCCTGCACTGGACCAGGTAGGCACGTAGGATCAAAGACACTATGACGCTTTCCCAGAAGCCCATGTTTCAAAACAACTTCTAATAAAGCAAAGTCTGCCAGTCAAAATACTGATACCTAGAAATAGGTGTTAAAACATAGCATTAAATGGCCTAAAGGAAAAGGAGAAGATATAGGTGGGCTAGGTGAAAGTCATGGAAAGGAAAATTGGGAGCAGAAGGGAAAGAGTGTGGAATAAAAGCTCTTTAGAAAAAAACACAAACAACGTATGAAGAAACCTGGAAAGAAAGTAGAACAAAACTTCAATACAATCTCAAGGCCAGAAATCCAGATAAAAGTAAAAATGACAAGTGGATTCTTTACACATTGACAAGAAAATCTACATGAACATATATGGTTCAGACTTTAGGTAATACGGACAAGAGGAGCTGCAATTGGACTTGTTTTATTAAATAAACAATACTTTATACGTTCATAGGGGTTATGTAGAATAGCATATATGTGTCCTATTGAGAAATACAGTTATTGCCATATTTGAATTTTAAGTAGAATGTTACTATTGTTAGGTTAATAGATTAGTAATAGAACTTAAAGAATTTTAATTTAACAATTTTCATTTAAAAATAAGATAGAGAAGCTTCTGAAAGACTTCACAGAGACAAAGGAGTAAAAATATTTAAAGAAAATGTTAATGAAAATAAAAATAGAACACCAGGTAGACGTTTAACATGTAAGATAATAACAAAAACAATTTTATGATTATAAATGAGAACATTTCTATGAAGTAGTCTTTTCTGGAAACATAAATCTTGAAAAATTTTAAAACCTGAATATATTATTAACCATAAAAGAAAATGGAAAATATAATTTTAAAATTACCTATCAAAAAATCCTCAGGGCCAAATAGTTTTACTAGTGTGCTCTGTCATACTTTCAACAAATAGGTAATTGGCATGATACGTGCACTGTGTGCTGTTTTAGAAATAGTGGAAAAGATGGAAAGCTGCCCACTTCATTTTATGAAGCTAAAATGACTTTGGTACTTGATATCAAGCCCTAAGAAAAAGAATGAAATAAGAAGACCATAGTACAAACATCACTTATGCACATAGATTAGAAAAATCCAAGCACATATAATTGCAGAAATGCTTTTAAAGAGTCATTCAGTATGATGAAAAAGAGTTTGCCCTAGAAACACAAAGGTGGTGTGATATTATGAAATATAGTCCTATAATACATCACACCAGTAACTCCACTCCCATCCCAGAAAATGACAATGCCATTCATTCAACAAATATTTGAGTTGAGTTCAGTTGAGATCAGTTGACTGTCTATGTGCCAGGTACTATCACAGGTGCTGAGGATGCCCTGGTGGAGCTTACAGGCTAATGGGAGAAAGATAGGTAATATATAGGCACAAAGAAAAGAGAGTAGGTTAGATGGTGATAAAAAGTGGAAAAAAATAGAGCATTCAAATAGGATGACCAGAGAGGCTGCACTGAGGTGACATTCAAGCAGAATCCCGAGGAAGTTGAGGAAGCCAGCTGTGTGGATGTGAAGGAGAGAAGCGTACCAAGCAGAATTAGCAGCAAGTGTAAAGGGCCCGAGGCAGCATCCTGCCTGGTGTAATGAGGTCAGCAGCCAAGCAAACATGATTGAGTNGTACCAAGCAGAATTAGCAGCAAGTGTAAAGGGCATCCTGCCTGGTGTAATGAGGTCAGCAGCCAAGCAAACATGATTGAGTGGATGTGCAAGTGGGGAGTGGTAGATCTGATCAAATCCAAGCAATGGAAGCAAAGAAGACGGAGCCTTGTAGACTAAGGAATGAGATGGAAACCCAACAGAAGATTGTGAGCAAAAGAAATGAATGGCCCGATTTATCTTAAAAGGATAAGTCTGGCTACATGAAGGAGAACGGAACGTAGGTAAAGGTAAGAAGCAGGGTAAGGTCTAGAGCCTGCTGCAATAATCCCACGGGGAGGAGAGAAGGGGTCAGATTCAGCGCGGGTGAGGAAGCATGAGCTGGCAGCCTCTACTGATGACTGGGTGTGAGGGTTCAAAAGAAAAAAAGGGGTACAAACGACTTGAAATATTTAGACTGAGAAACTGGAAAGATGCAAAATGTCATTCCGAAACACTCAACACCCTTTCTGATTGTCAAATTATTAGTATACAGGGAATACCAGGGAGTAGTATACTCTAAATATGGTAAAGAATGTATAGCTTAAAAACAGCTAATATTATGAATGGTGGTGAAATACCAGTGGCACTCAGATTTAATTTTTAAAAACAAACAAGAGTCTATAATGGAAAAAAATTGGAAAAACTCTAAATATCCTTCAATATCATTCAAATATCCTTGAACAAATTGTGGTAAGAGTTATATAATGAAATCTTAAAATAATTTAAAAAATATTTAGTAATGTGGTGAAATGACCCATTAATAGAACAGGATACCAGGCAGAATATAAAGTATAATACCAATTTTCTTAAAATGTATATAAATACAGGAGGAGGACTGGAAGGGAAAATGCGATGCACCTGTGATTTTTTTTTCTTTATATTTTTCTATATTCTTTGTAAATTTACATACTGAATTTTTATTTTCTTTTATGATCAGGAAGACTATAAATATTATTTTGGAAAAGAAATACATGCAAACTGATTCAAGGCTTACTCTCTCATACTTTTAGTAAGTGACAGACAAAGAAGCAAGAGTCAACTGAAATAATGGTGCCTCCTCACTTACTCGAAACTGCATAATTCTTTGAAATCATATCGGAGAGTTGGAGTGGCTTTTGGAGGCTTGGGGAG